ACAAGAAATGGAAAACCCCCAAAAAACAACCAACCCCCCAAGACCCATTGGAAATGGGGAAAAACGCCAAAAAGCAACCAAACCCCCCAAGACCCATCAGAAACGGGGGAGAAATCAAAAAAGCAAACAAACCCCCCCAAGACCCATCGGAAATGGGGAAAAAAACCAACCAACCAAACAACCCTCCCAGGACCCATTGGAAATGGAAAAAAAACGATGGGGAAAAAAACCAACCAAACAAACAACCCTCCCAGGACCCATCAGAAATGGAAAAAAACACACCAAAAAGCAACCAAATCCCCCACGACCCATCAGAAATGGGAAAAGATACTCCAAAAAGCTACAAAAAACCCCCAAGACCCATTGGAAATGGGGGGGAACAAAACAAACAATCAACCCCCCCAAGACCGATCACAGCACAGAAACATAACCCCCCCCCAGCCCAAAACCATGCTGCAAAAACACCCAGAAAACAGCACCTTACCTTACCAGGGATCCTTCTCTGATCGCATACACTCTTAACTGCTGGTGCGAAAAAGCTACAAAGAAGCAGCCTCGTCACGACTTACAGTTAGAAATTAGAATTTCCCGCTTCCCCCCGCCCGCCTTTTTCTGTTTGTAACTGGAAGCTCCGGCCACAAGTCGAAGCAAAATTTTGCGGCTGGAGCAGGTCGTAACTCAAAAAGGTCGTAGGTAGGGACGTTAGTAAGTCCAGGCATCACTGTATGTTATTTGTAACTAGTTACTTCCAAACTCTGCTTTTGCCCTTGACTGCACCTGTCACAGTAGCTTTATCCATTGTTGGCTTCTATGCCTTACCAGTCTTTCAGTTATAGTGTCCAGAATCCTGTTGTATAAATTCTGCCTACAGAAACATCACTGGAGATGTTTGGCAACTGAAGACTTCTTTCTTTCTTTCTCACAGTTTGTCCAGCTCACAAGTAATCTTGTGGTTGGTTGGTTGGTAGGTAGGTAATATTGCTAGGGCAACTGGGAGTTTTGAGTACTGTTCACTCAGCACCATAACCAAAGAACTAATAAATACTTTGTCTCATTTTTGATGTATTCCCCCCTTCCAGTTCTTGGGTCTACACTGCAGACAGATGTTCCAATTTTGCTTCAGCCAGGCTATTAAGCTGCCATCCTACTTCAGAGAATGATGGAAAGTAGTAATACAAACCATTGTGTTGACCACAGGTGGTATCCGGCAGGGTCTCAACATGGATAACATCTTTTTTGTTATAGCATGAGTCCCTTAAGAGTTGTCGGGAACAATGAATCCTATCAGTGGCTTCTGACAGATTCTTAAGGTGTTTTTTTTTTAACCACCACTTGTCAGAACATAGATGAAGGACCTCCGGAGACTAGCAGCTTTGGCAGAAAGCACACTACAGACATGAATAATTCAACCACTATGAATAACCCAAGTCTTTCCAAGTCAAAACAGCATAGTCCTAGCCTGATGAACTCAGACCTTCCCACAAAAGAGCACTTTAATCTTTGAATACTTTGGGAAAGGGGTTCGCTGTGATTTAAGTTCTTGGTTAGACTAGTGGCTTATGGACGATGCACCAGTGCTATAGGTGTCCTGGAGGGAAATGCATGGAGAGAGAGAGAGGATCAGGAGGTGGGAGACAAGGAAACAAAGCCAAGAATCAAGACCAAGCAACATACTGAAACTCATCAGAGGCAGGAAGCTGTCCTGAGCGCTCTGTAAGGAAGGAGAGAATCCCTCTGCACAGCTAAAGTCTTTGCCCAAACAAAAAAACATTGTCCTTTTTGTGTAGGTTGTCCCAGTGGGTAGCTTGGATTACGGGGCCAGTCCAGTGTCTGAGAAAACCTCACTTTCCTACAACAGGGATGAAGAACATTTACCTTCCCCGGTGTGGATGGACTCTGACCTCTATCCTAACTGATCCTTGGCCAGGTTGACCAGTAGTGATGGGAACTGGAGCCCAACAACATCTGGATGCTCCAAACTGGAACTCTGGTGGTTCTTTACCTAGGCTGGTTCCATACAAAATTGAGGGAAGAGACTGAAAGTAGCCAGTTAACTCCTCATAACCAGTTACCTAGGTGTAACACCTATGCAAAGAGTTAAGACCTAGTTACTTTAAAATGTCCATTTTTCAAGGGCATTTTAAAGTATTTTTGGAAGCATTTTAAAAGACTCCCACTGGCAATTTTATGCCATTCTCCTCAACTGTAAATAAAAAGGGAAACGTTCTTTTGTCGTTCAGATTTTTGTAAATATTTCTGAGGCAATATCAGAATTGTCCACTAGAGAGAGCCAGCGAGTGTTTCTCCATATTTTCTGGCCTAGTTTTTACAATGCACTGTATTAATAATGCAACAAATTACTTGCACAGTTGGTTCAATAATAAGAGCAACGGGACTGCAGAGAAGTAATAAGCAACACAACAAATTCCTTTTAAAACATAACATTCTAAGCTGTTGATTGAGGGTTCTGGTTCTCCAGATGTGTCTAGAACATGGTTTCGCACTCATGTTTGAACTACACTAGTTCCATCATGCTTATGTCTGAGTTAAGGTGAAGAGGTGTTAACAATGAAGGAAAAAGCATGGTTGCCTATAGGAATTGACACTGGCCTAATGCTAGATTTCACACACTGTTCCTGGATATGTGTACTGCTTTACCATAAATAAAAATCCTCCATAAATTTTCCTATTTACACTTAGTTTTACACTGTTGCAGTTATGGTCAAATGGATCTGAGTTTTCAAAAATGATAATCGAACTGGGTTCTATTGGGTTCCAGTATCTGATTAGTGAAGTCTTTCTCAAAGATAATCTTCTAATTCTATGATATAAAATTATTTTCTCTCTCACACAATAGGGTACTTGACTTCTGTGAATAGACTTAATAGCATTGGCTTACATTTCTAGAAGAATTTATGATCTAGTAATTTCTGTGAACCTTGCTCGGGGTTCTCCACTTTCTCTGTCAGTTACTTTGCCTGAACTAATAAAATCCAGATACAATCACACAGGAACTCAATTCTTTGAAATTAGGAAATCAAGACCTTTAAGTGGGTAAGTAACGGGATCTCTCTTTGGGTTATTTGGACACATCAGGCACCCCCGCTGCTGTATTGGAGCCATGGTTTCTTTTTAAAGGAAGGATTCAAGATGAATTTGATGCATGGGTAAAGCAGCGTAGAACTGATGGACAAGAAGATTTTCTTGGATGTCACATTGTGGAGTCAAGTTACACTCAGGGCCATATTAACCCAAGGCCAAGCTCCTTGGCTTTCAGGTATTTTGAGAACCCCTCAGGGACTTCAATTTTTCATGCCATGACAGCTGACAGCCTGAGAACTGAAATACATAAAGTCTCAGAAGTCTTTCATTAATGTCTTCATCTTATATGGTTTGAATACCATGTCATAGACATTTTATCATTGTAAAAAAACATATTCCACACTCCATATTTTTTCAGTTTTTCTGGAAAAAAAATAGCTTTGAAAAAAAACAACGGAACCCCCGGACCCCCCCCCATTTTTCCCCATTTCCCCCAGACCTTCCCTTCTCTAATCCTGACCCTGGCCAATTGACGGACCCCTAGTCCCTTGTGAGGCCTTCAGCCTAGTCAGCCTTATGAATAATACCTCCCAGACTACACTTAGCATGTTTTTTGAAGAGATCCTCTGTCAAGTGGTGCAAGATGTCTGTATGTCATGGTATATGCTTTCTTCACTTCTTAGCTTGCATTCCAGTGCACTTTGTGATTGGTCACTGGAGCTTAATTTACAGGTCAGATTGCTGAAGCATGAAACTCCGATGAAATCCCATTGTGGGAGGAGAAATAGGTTCCTTGCAAGAAATACATGTTCCTGATAATGTCTAATTTAATCCACTCTTCTGAGTAAAAGGCATAAAAGGAATTACTCCTTCACCTTCACATAGTAAAACTTTGGAATTTGCTACCACAAGCAGTGTAGCAATGCTCACCATCCTGGAGGACTTCAAAAAAGAGAATTGGATAAATTCTTGGTGGAAAGTGCTGTCAGTGGTTACTAGTCCTAAGTGTTTCTTCCAGTTCCAGAGACAACAGGCATTCAAATAACAGCTACTATGGGATGTAAGTTAGAGAGTATCTTTATACTTATGTTCTGCTAAACAGCCTTCCCATAGGTGACTAATGGGCAATTGGGTGAACAGAATGCAGGAATAGGTGGGCTTTTAATCTCATTTATCATGATTCTTCTTATGTTCTAATGTTCTGATACATGGGTGCATTGCAGTGCATTACAAAAATCTAGACAATTGCTCTCTGTTATTCTGATGAGGGTCCCTCTCAAGCTCCTCAAAACCATGGAGTTTGAAAAATCTACTCAGAATCACTGTGCCCAACTTGCAAGGTAGAACTGCCACCACATCCATAAAAATAGCATGGCTGCCTGTAGCTGGACAAAGCAAGACCTGGTTTTAGTACCACAGACTCTCTGATCCCAACATTTTTATCTTTTATTATAGATAGTGAAAAAAGACAAAAGGGTCCCTAATGTTCAAAATGATTTCAAAAAGCACTTGGAGCAAAAGGGATAATTTGAGACAAAGGCTGAAACAATTGAGAGAAGCACACCAGAAAATAACAAAACTAGCTAATTTACATAATACACACACATTAATGTAGCACCAGTATAGTTCTGAAGGAGAGTGCATCATTCCAGGATGGCAACTGAACATAGCATCTCCTGAGGGGTCAGCTAAGCTAACTAAAGTAACTTCTGAGCACCTTTTAAATACATTAAACATCACATTCTCCAGCCTCCCAGATGGTCTGCCAATCAGGTTTCAAGTTCCCTCAAATGTTCACAAAAACAAAACCACTTTCTGCCCCTCTTCCTTCACACAATAGAAATCATCCAATCAGTGCAGTGCCAGATAAGAAACTGACGTGGCCTTGAGGACTTCATGATGCGATAAGAAACTGACGTGGCCTTGAGGACTTTACGATGCAAGAGATATGCCCCCCCCCCATTTTCAGCCAGCTTTTCCCAGGCACTGAGAGAGAAACCTGAAGGTTCCAAATCTGCAGGTGTTACTCTCTTCTTGTTACTGGGTATATATGCCCCCCCCCCACATTTTCAGCCAGCTTTTCCCAGGCATTGAGAGAGAAACCTGAAGGTTCCAAGTATTCTGTGTTCCATATTCCCCTATTTTTCAGTTCCTTCACACTGAGAATCAAGAGTCATGCCTGACCCTGGCTGGAATCCTGGTTGTCAAGGCATAATATAAGGGTACACAACTGGAGATGTGCTTGGCATTCTTCTCCAGCAACAAGGTCTTCACAATCAGTTGTGTGGGTCCCGTTTTAACTGAGTGTGCAATGTGTTGTCACAAGTGCTTTGTGGATAGCACTTTTGCCTTGGTGCAACTGTAGCTACTACAAGTGTCACATCCGAGTTATGTTTGTGCAGCTACGCAACAGGATTTTAGCCCCTCACTGACAGTAGTATGGATGCCATTCACTGACAGAAGTTCTCAAAGGTTGTGGATGAGAGTCTCTTGCATCCTTGCTGGAGGCAAATAGAAACTGAACCAGGGACCTTGGGGTGTGGGTAGGGAGACAGCACTGTTGTTCCGGGGGGGGGGATGGAGGATTATTAAAGCTGAGGAAAAAAAATACTGAGAACATCACAGCACCTTCAATGCAAATTTGCTTGTTTCTTGCTAAATGCATTGCATAACCTGCCTTCCCTGGCACACTTCAAACCTTTAGCAAGTTCCTTTTCCTGTTGCAACCTTAGTGGCACTGACACTAGTCAGCTGGTCTATGCTAATTTATTTAGCAACTCATTGCCCAGGCTCTTCTCCGCCCCCCTGCAAATTTCTGCAGTTGCTTCATCCCTACATTTTTAATAAATTCAGCTACAGTGCCCAAATGGGTGGCTTTCTCCTTCCAACTTTCTCCTGGAAGGGCTTATTTAGCATCTAATACATGGGTGAGTACTACTTTGTAGCCTGCGAATTGCAGAGAACGCTCCCCCCGAGACCATTTTTGTAAACCTCCCCCACAAAAAAGCACTAAGTAAGCGGCTTTACTGAGATGCTAAAGATGTTCTTCCTGACTTGTGCTCAGAGGCCCCCCAATATTTCTCAGTCTGAATTATGTTTGGCAAAGGAAAAGTTTTTTCCCTACTCTTGGAGGTTTCCAGGAGCAGTGGTTTTTCAGTCTAGGCAGGTGAAGGGGGTTCCTCACCCACCCACAATGAAAGGAGATGCAGAAACAAAAGTTAGAACAAACTTTACTGCTTGCATTTTGGGGGGGGGGTTGCATTTTCAACCACGTTGGCTCTCCAGGTCTACCAATATCACCCACGCCTGATCTGATTTAGTGGTAGTGGCACTGAGGGAGATTCTCTGCAGTGTTTATATTTACGATAACTGCAAAATTAATAGGGTTGCTATAATCCAGTTGTCCAAATCTGGGCAGCATGATTTGCATGCTATGCAAAATAGCCCACATATTTCACAAATTAACCAACACAGTATGCAAATCAGGGCAATTAATTGTTATACGGTTGCTCCAGCTATGTTTGTTATAGTGATTGTCTACCATTATGTCTGAGTCTTGCTACCATATATATGTGAGGCAGTTAGGTGCTTTATTGTATTGATTAGAAGTCTGATTGTAGATCTGGAAGAATTGTCTTTATCTTTAGCAGATTGCCTGAAATCTTGGTAAAGCTTGGTAGACTGTTTAGTTTATCCTTTCCAACAAAATTCTCTCTCTTTTTTTGAGGGGGTGGTGGTGGTGGTGATAGAGGAGAGTAACTTATTAATCCAATGTTGAAAAGTAATCNGCTTGCTTGCTTGCTTGCTTGCTTGCTTGCTTGCTTGCTTGCTTGCTTGCTTGCTTGCTTGCTTACTGCTACCTTAGTGCAAAGCACTACTCTCCTTATGTTTTGTGTTGCTTGATAAAAAAACCCTGTAGGCTTCATAAGGAAGTAGTATACAATCTGCCATTAAAACCTAAATTGTAAACATTCTTTTGGAATGTAACATTTTTTTTGCACCCTCCAAAAAAGGATATCTCACTGCAGGTGGTTGTGTTACTTCTAATCTGTTGCACTTCCATGTTTCTCCAAGAGTTTAAGGCCTGGGTTGGTATCTGACTTCAGTAAAATAAGCCCTTTAGGGAGCTTCTGGCGTGGCAACTTATGACTCACCAGGATGCATCTGCTTTTGTTGAGCTAGGAAGTGCTTCGTGTATTGAATTTAAATCAGCCTTAATAACCCCTCAATGTGCTGAAGGGTCAAGACGAGGGAGTTCATGCACTGAAAATGGAAACTGCATTAAACTGGAATGGATATTCTACCAAAACCAGGATGAGATGCTGCCCTTTTGCACAGCGCATCTTACGAGGAGCATCAGGCAATGGAGTTGTTAATACGCTACCCACCGTAAGGGTTGTTTTCTTGGGCGGCTGGGAGGCCATCTGGGATAATTACCTTGAAATGTTCTGTAAAGAGAAGCTGATGAGGCCAGTTCCTTTTCCAGAGTAGCTCATGAATTGTCACTCACAGCTTTGCGCTGCCATCGCTTCCTGCTTTGGAGATGGTGTCAGGAGTTCTCGAGACTTGAGGTTCAGGTCCTCCCTGTGGAGAGTTAAAAGGTCACTCGCTACTTATCCTGCCTTCCCAGAGTATGCCTGGATCAGCTCAGAAAGCTGATTGACAGCTTGCCTCTGTTTCCTTCAACTGGGATAATACAAGAGGCTTGATCTTCCACCTCTCAGGTAAACAATAACATGCAGTGGAGAGGCAGGCATTATATCTATTGCTAATCTCCAAAGCTGATTAGGCCAGAGATGCCACAGATGTTGTCTGTATATCCTCACAAAGGGGCATATAGATAGCTCTGTGGTTCTTGTAGCTCAGCGTGGGAGGGAAAAAAGCAGCTAGCTGAATCCCTTTCCAGACTGGTTTACACTAATGTTTCCCCATGCAGTTGCAAGCACATGTATGGTCCGGGCAGAGTCATAGCTGTTCACAGTGTAGAGGAAACATGTGCCTGTAATTTGTAGGTGCTGCTGCAAAAATGGAAACACATCCTTCACCCAGACCATATGCGCCATTAACAGTGTGTGTCGGACTTTATCAATTGTAAGATGATCATGAGATAGGTCCCTGCCCCAAGTATCTTCCACTTTAAAATTAAAATGTGGAAGAAATGGAGATAGAGATGGGGAAGATTATAAGGGTCCCCCCCTTTTCCAGTTACATGTACTTTGGAGTGTGATGTTTTTGCCCAGCTTTATCTTTGCCGTGCTTATTTTCTACTTAGAGAAAAGTGACTGTTATTTAAGGAATCACTACAGATATAATGCTGCTTCTTCAGTTTGAGGTGGTCCCAACACTCTGCTATCCCCTTTTGTTACAGACCTGGTTATTTCTATTTCAGAACATAATGGGAGAACTGAGGGTTCTTCGTAAAGTTCAAAAGTTAGTGCCCTCCAGCGCAGCCATATTTTAGAATACTCAGTAACATTTAACAGTACAAGATGTCACAGCTCTGAAGCGAGTGTCCATCCTCTCCCCCCCCAGCCTGCTTTTGAACCCTTGATGAAGCAGTTGCAGGCGGAAAGCTGGGAGACTTCTGTAGGAAGCACATTCAGTGCTGTTTGCTGAGGGTGTCTGTGCCAGCTCCTCTTCGCACGGACAGCAGGCTGGGTGTCTCTGTGCCTTCGCTGGTGCCTTTCCTAAGCGAGAACTCTGGTCTATGAATAGGAATGGTTGTGAACGCGTTAAGCAGGGCCTGCAGCAGCTGTGCTCAGAATGAGATCCTTGGTAGACTTGGAGTTGTGACTGTAAGCAGTTGGGTGGGAGGAGAGGAGCAAGAGAGGATGCAGCCGGGCCTTTTTCGGATGTTGTGGAGAAGCGCATGAAGAGCAGGGATGTGCCATTCAGGTTTCTTTAACTCCCAGAATTCCCAGCATTTCCCAAGAAGCATTTCCAGTGGTCGTGCTGTCTAGGAATTCTATGAGTTGTAATAAAAAGGAGAGGGAAAGAGACAGTGGGGAGGGAAAGAGAGGAGCTTTCCTAAGCTCTGGAGTTTTGCAAACGTGTGAAAGGTCATTAGAAAAAGGTGATTGTACCCCCCCAGGAAGCTAGGCCATGAAGCCTTTGAACTTGGCTTTTTTCCAGGTGAGCGAAATCTAGGTGTATCTGTAGGTGTAGGTCTGTCTAGATCTCCCAGAAGGGAGAATTCTGGGAATTGAAGTCCAAAAAAATCCAAGAAGTACATCCTAATGAAAAGTCAGTTCTCATGAAGTGCTTGGGTGTATTTTGGAAGCTGCAGTCCAAGCACAGTTATTAACACGAGTCAGCCATCCATTCCAGAGATGAAACAATTAAGTCAGTAGTACAGAGGTAAATTTATATGACAATACGTATTACAGACATATATGTTAGAGCAGGGGTCCCCAACCCCCAGTCCGTGACCCCATGTCAGTCCATGGGCTTCCCTGAACTGGGCCATGGACACAGATCTCTGCCCCCCTGTACATACGCACAGTGGGTGTGTCACACTTGCAGAGGGGTGTGTCACGTTTGTGGGGTGGACGTGATGCGCTCACGGGGTGGGCCTGACACACTCACGCACATTCGTGCTCACACAACATGCTCCTCTGCGACTGCAACCCACCCGTAAGTGCGACCCACCTGCTCAAGAGCCTGACGCATGGAGCCCGCACCCCCCAAAAAAGGTTTGGGACCACTGTGTTAGAGTATTACACAGAGGTATAATTATACACGATTGATTGATTGATTGATTGATTGTTACCTGCCTGAATCTCTGATCTATCAGAGTGAAGTGCTTTGAGCTGCAGCCTGAGAATGGTAAAAGTAGGTCCCAAGATTATGTGCACTGTCAGGCTCCTGAAGGTAGAAAAAATCTGGATTTTTTTTTTTGCAGTGTGTGTGTCAAAAGTGGCTGGGTGCAGCAGTGCTTACCCTGAAGAAGAGGCATGCTTTTGCATGAGGACTTCTCAAGTTTTCTAGACTTGTCTTTTATCTGCTCTGACCTATACTGATCTTCCTTCAACCTAGACTGATACTTTTAGGGGTGCTGATGTTCCTTCCATCCTTTTTACATTTCTTTCTTGATTCTTTCTAAGAGAAGACACAGGAAACATCTTGACTTAATTTTTAAGAGGTGAGGTGGTAGCCATGCATCTCTACCATAGTTAGTTAGCCCAAGGA